TCTATCTATCATCTATCTGTCTGTCTGTCTGTCTGTCTGTCTGTCTGTCTGTCTGTCTGTCTGTCTGTCTATCTATCTATCTATCTATCTATCTATCTATCTATTTATCTATCTATCTAACTGTCTGTCTGTCTGTCTGTCTGTCTGTCTATCTATCTCTCTATCTTGTAGAAAAAAACAATCTATAGAAAAATAGCCAATGTCCTGTCACAAAATTACCACTACATTTTCCTACATTTCCTTCAACCTTAAAACACAACACAATGCAATGCATAATTCAAAATACAGGTAAAAACCAACACAGAACATTTCTTAATATTATCACAGTACAGAGGCCCATATTTTTCAATGGGCAATGTTTTTATTCCGATTTGGTCTATCCAATAACATTCATTCTATCAATCATATGTGTAGCGTCTGGACCACTCCAACACACAATATATATTTTGTTAGCTAGATTTCACAAATACTTTGTAACACCCCAGGACGCCGAACAAGACCCTGGTTTCATGGTAACCCGATACATTTACAACCTTGTGGAATGCGAGCCGGCTCTCATTCTGCTTTCTCCAGAAACAAGGGGTACAAATGCACACGAGAAATGGACTGTTCTACTAATTAATTCATAGGAAAACCTTCTTTGAATGAACACCCATTTTCTTCAGGCCAGTGTGTATATTATTGCTGTGTTGTATTTAATCTGTTGTATTATAGACTATTTTTATCCGTGCTTACGATAAACCACACATTCATATAAGTAACTATTTCATGTTCATTAGTTTATATTATTTTATTTTATCCAAATAAGACTGAATTTAAGTACTATTAGGAATGGATTCAATTGTGAAAATAGCTCCTCCATACCAGAATGGAACCCCCTTTTTTTGTCACTGGAATAATTATGTATTGTACACAATTAGACCTGGAACGTGCATTACAAAGTAAATGGATCAGTTTTGATTTCATATTGATTTTACTGAAAGAAAAGTTCTGAGAATACGAGAATATAACAATATAAAACATGAGAATTATACAGGTGCATCTCAATAAATTAGAATGTCGTGGAAAAGTTTATTTATTTCAGTAATTCAACTCAAATTGTGAAACTTGTGTATTAAATAAATTCAATGCACACAGACTGAAGTAGTTTAAGTCTTTAGTTCTTTTAATTGTTATGATTTTGGCTCACAGTTAACAAAAACCCACCAATTCACTATCTCAACAAATTAGAATACTTCATAAGACCAATAAAAAAACATTTTTAATGAATTGTTGGCCTTCTGGAAAGTATGTTAATTTACTGTACATGTACTCAATACTTGGTAGGGGCTCCTTTTGCTTTAATTACTGCCTCAATTCGGCGTGGCATGGAGGTGATCAGTTTGTGGCACTGCTGAGGTGGTATGGAAGCCCAGGTTTCTTTGACAGTGGCCTTCAGCTCATCTGCATTTTTTGGTCTCTTGTTTCTCATTTTCCTCTTGACAATACCCCATAGAGAATCTAAGGTCTGGTGAGTTTGCTGGCCTGTCAAGCACACCAACACCATGGTCATTTAACCAACTTTTGGTGCTTTTGGCAGTGAATTCTAATTTATTGAGATGCACCTGTAAATATAATATAATTATTATAATTATTATAAAAATAATATTATTTTATTCTCCCTTACATTAAGAAAAAAATTGTATTTCTTATAAATCATTGTTCCAATTAATTAATATGTATCAATAGTATTTTCTTTTCATTTACCTTACTCAAATATACAAAATCCTTTTTGAATTTTCACAATTTCAGAGGAACACATATTCCCCTAATCTTTGGGAGGAACAGAAGCATCTTTAGAGAGGTAAAGAGAAAGGAAAGCAAGTTGAGCTTTCAAATTCACTACAGATTGTGCCATAGCTGCCGTCCCATCATGCAGTGTGGCTTCTGACACTGCAGTGGTTTCACAGCACAGCAGGTATACAAAACTGGAGAACCTCTACTGGAAAAAGGGTAGCTTTAGCCAGAAACACAGGGCACATTTTCCATTTTAACACGACCCATCTGAATAACCAGAGCTGACCGTTTCTGATCACACACACACAGCAAACAACAAAACGTTGCTTCAGGACTGAATCTCTTGAGCTGAGCAATCAAGCAAATGGAACCAAATGATGTCACTAATAGCAGACATGAACTGAATCAGTCTGAATGCCTGATGACAGACAAACCAGACTTTTTCCCCCCTTTCAGCTAAGTATGGCATTATTAAATCTGGCTCCTTTACCATGTACTATATGCTGCTTATAAATAAGTACTATACACACTATACAACTTATAAATTAATACATGTTATTAGATTGTAATACATACTCAGTTCAATTCATCCACAAGTATGTCCTAGTATATACATATATAATATATTTGTATGTGTTCACACTGTATACTTTTTAATTCTCACTTGGGTAAATAATCCAGAACAGCCACATTAAATATTAATACCTATAAGCAAATCTTGAATGTTGTTTAAGATGGGCCAAAATATTCCTGGTGAGAGCTGCCCGGTCTAAGTAGCACAATAAACGCTGTATCCAAAGCAAGCTGTTTTAAAGGTGATTTAGAACTGAGTACACGTCCAGATGGTGAGTTGCCTATTTGTCCGTTTTCTTTGAAGGAAAACAGGAAAAAGAAAGCAACAGGGGACCCACTTTATATTAGGTGGCCTTAATTACTATGCACTTACATTTAAATGAATGATTTGATACAATGCACTTGTGTACATACATGTTTTTACATTGTACTTAAAAAAAAAATACCTGTATGTAATTACATCTGTAATTAATTTATGTTATTGCATTTATAAATACACTGTTGACCCATCCCTTACACCTTAACTCACCCTGAAAACCTACCCAAACCACCAAACCTGTTCCTAACCGTACCCATATCCCACCTCAATAGCAGCAAAAGTGTTTTGCAATACAATATGAACACAATAAATACACTGTACTTATTTTTTTGATGTAAGTGCATAGTAGTTAAGGCCACCTGAAATAAATTGCGACCGCAACAGGCAACGGTTCCACAGACAAGCAGTTGTAGTGTTATAATTCATCTTGACTACATGAATATTTCAATGATCTGTTCTGTCTGATGACATTTGTTATGACAGAAGGCATAAAAGATTAATACTCAGTTGTATAACCTAAAGTGCATGTCTTTATAGTCTAAGATTCATCTACAGGAGTTGAGAAAGGTTCTCAGATAAGTCTTAAAGGTCAGAATTAATAAGATCTCTGTATACAAAAATGCTAAGTCTTTTCATTTGCTCACCCTCATGTTGTGCCACCTGTATGATTTTTCTTTTGTCTGTGGAACCAAAAGGAAGATATTTTGCAGAATATCTGGATTTTTGAGCTCTAAAAATTATATTAACCAAAAAAAAAATGCTTTATATTTTTCGCTATATTGCAAATCTTTGGAAGTCATACAACAGCTTTATGTGAGGAACAGGGTGAGATTAAACATACTATTTACTTAAAACCCTCTACCATAGCTCTCAAATATCATTGGCGGCTGTACACATTCAAATACGACTTATCAATGATGTCTAACTTCATTGGTCATCATGAGCAATCATTCATTGCATGGAAAAGAGCTTCAGGACATTCTGCAAAACATTTTCATTTTGTGTTGCACAGAAGAAAGAAAATCATACATCTCATACAAGAAAATTAAACATCATACAATAAAATCCTACATCTCAAACAAGTTTGGGACAACTTGAGGGTGAGTAAATCATTTTAAGTCCTACTTACAGTAAATGGATCAAAAAGCACTCCAAAATGCAGTTGATTGCATTTAATATTAACTTAAAATATAGCATAATACATTTTCACTTTAAATTGCAACTAACATGGAATTATGTGTCTGAAAATACATTTCACAGCTCATACACACACACACACACATATATCCATAATAAGAGCTATTTTTAAAAGTATTCTAAGGTGTATGGTTACACTTTATTTTAAGGTATCCTTGTTACAGTGTAATTATACATTTAAGTACAGAGTAATATTAATTAATTACATGCACTTACTATATGGGTAGGGTTAGGATTAGGGTTTGGCTTAGGGTTCCTTGCATGTAATTATGCATAATTTATTGTTATTATAATAGTAAGTACAAGTAACATGTAACAAGGACACCTTAAAGATAAAGTGTTACCAATTGTACTTCTTTTTCACAAGGCATAGGCCTACTGTATTCTGAAATCTTTTTGCTTGGAAAAGTAGGAGGACCTCTCAATAAACAATAATTCTTAATAAACCTTTAAGTAAAAACCCAGTCCAGTATTTGATATAAAATTAGGTATTCTAGAAAGGCACTAACACACACAATTACAGATACAACATTTGTATCACCTTGGATTGAAAGCATACTGATACA